TGCAAGGTGAATACAGCTGGTAAAATAGCTGTATTACTTCTGCATACAGTCTGTGACACTGTGAGTTGCACGGCCAGATACGGCTCAGCTGACTCAGATAAGGAAATATATGATACATTATGATGTGATATGAATGATAATGGGACACATCAACGTCTGCACTCAGTGCCGCGGACTGTACGTAATGTTACTTTGATCTGGTTACTTATGTTGTGGCAGATATTTAAGTAAGCTTTCTTAACGCTAATGTTATAATAGTCAGATTGGAAAATACACAAACACACACACACTCGCGAGCTTCCCCCAGACCAGTAATCCAAACGAAAATATCTTCCCTCCGTAGTACTTTGATCATTTGCTAATAATCAATCAGATCGATGGATTCCAGAAAAGAGGAAACTTTAAAGGCCTTTTTCTCAAAATGATGACTCTGTGACAGTCATTATATAATGTGACATATTTTGCTTAATATTTGGAGTACAAAAACAATCCTGATATCATCAGAAAGCTAGGAATCAAAATATGTCTTCGGGTCAATGCGACTGATTTCGATAGAGCAGGTCACTTTGCATTAGGTAAAATAAAGCAGGCAGACATAACAGGAAGAATATGTACATGTTAACCCAATCAAATAGGACATTGTCACACCATTCAAATCTATCCATGTTCATTACAACTAATAAAAAAGCTTAAATTTGTTTATATGTTACGTTGTTTACTTTATTTGTTACGTTGTTCTGTGTGTGTCAGCCGTTAACCTAGAATATATACACTTGCAAACATGTCAGAAGAACCAGCGCAGAAGAAAACTAAATACAATCAATCTAAACTTAAATGTAACAACTAGAAGGTCACATCCCTGACATCCACATCTCCGGAGCCTGGACCTTCATCAATCATAGAAACAGCGAAGCCAGATGAACCCAAAAGCAGCACCTCTGCGGCCGCAGAAACTGTCAAAACCGCCGCCGCCGTCGTTGAACCGAAACAGGCTGGTTCCGACTTCATGGAGGTTTGTTGTTGGGACATTGAGGCGGGTAAAGCTGTACAGCTAACTATCGGAAAAAAGGAGACCGCTAGATTATTTGGGCAAAGAGAAAGGTACTTCAACGCAGAATGGTACAAAAACAGAGAGTGGTTCATTCTTTGCAAACCCACTAAACGATAGTGATAAACTGCGATGTTAACAACCGCATGATAACCTCATATTTTTTTAACTTAGGATCATACCTGTGTTTAGTCTAGAAAAAGGTAAATGTGTGCATTTTATTATAAAGTTGTGTATATTTACAGACTGTTGCAAAAACTAAGAAGCTTATAAACATCAGGTTTAAAACTAAAAGAGCTTTACAAAAAAGTAACGCAATTAAAGATGTTTGCAGTTTTATTTGAGTTATTCATTTACATTTTTTGTCAAAGAGATGCTGATTTGAAACCGTTGTTACATACAGTTACGGCATTTCCTGTTTCTGTCGGAGAGAGGGGAGTTTGTCCCAAAGCTTGCCGCTGTATTTACTCCCTCCATCTGACAGGAGGGAGCCTCATGTGTCACTCCACGGAGTTCACTCCGTCACGGAGGGAGGGAGAGTGGGTAGGGGTAGGGGGTAGGGCGTGGTTTGGGATTGAGCCATACACAAGCACTTTTTTGGCCCCCCCACTTCTAAAATGAATCCGGCGCGCCTGTCAGCAGGCGGTGCTTTCACTGAGTTGATCTCTTATCCTGGAACCAAACCTGCTCCGGAGCAGGTTAGCCGTTCAGCATAAGTTACCATGGAGATCTAGCCCGGTAAGAAGTGAACCAGCGTCGTAGGACCGGAAACCCAGAGTTTTCCCTGAAGTTAGCTCGTTAAGCGAAAATCCGGCTTTGTAGTACAGGCCTCTGGTGTATGAAAAATGCTATACAAACTAGAAAATGCATTTCTTGCAGAAAATGCGTGCGAATGCTGTAAACTTTGAACATTTAAGGCTGAATTTAGCTGAAAATGCAGAAAAAGCTGAATATGTTATTAGCTGAATGGTAGCTGCTTTTAGCTAAAAAAAATGCAGAAAAAGCTTAATATTTGAAAGAAAAGGTTTAAAAAAGGTATAAACAACAACATGTATAGCCTTGATGTCCTGAAATAGCTGAATAATGTAATAGTTGAATGGGTTCTGCAGCTGAAAATAGGCTGAAGGAGTTAAATATCAGATGTAAGTAGTAGTGAATGAATTTGTATTAAGATGAGAAAAGAAAGTAAAAAGGCTTGGGAAACTTTTGAACTAACTTGATGGTGAATGATCTGTCGCCATGGCAACGGCATTTGATGACATCCCATAATACTCTTAGATGTGTTGATGGTTGCATTGTTACCAAACCTGTGAAGTTTTGGGCCATTTCGAGTATTTTCACTGAAGTTATGAGAAAACCGTGTTTCATGGTGAGCATTGTGTTGCCATGGCAACGGCATTTGAAGAAATCTCAAAACTGTCACGTAGATGTCTTCACGGCTGGACTGTTAGCACACATGTGAAGTTTGAGCACTCTTTGAACATTTTCATAGGACTTATAGCGACATCATATTTTATGGCGAGGGATGCGTTTCCATGGAAACGGCATATGGTGAGATCTCAGATTTGGCGTAGAGCTGTTGAGGCATGGACCGGTGATATACAAGTGAAGATTGGGGGACGATTGGACAGTGTCGATTGGACTTACAGGCTCATCGTGTTTCATGGCGAGTGGTCTGTCGCCATGGCGACGACATTTGATGACACCCCATACTACGCTTAGATGCATTGATGGCTGCATCGTTATCAAACCTGTGAAGTTCTGGGCTGTTTGGAGTATTTTCACTGAAGCTATGAGAAAACCGTGTTTCAAGGCGAGCATTGTGTTGCCATGGCAACGGCATTTGGAGAAATCTCAAGACTGTCCCGAATCGTCTTCACAGCTGGACTGTTGAAGTCTGCTGCATGTCAGTTGGAGTGATGACATCATCGTGTTCCATTACACAGGTGTTTATAGTTGAGCTAATGAGCTCTGTAGAGATCACAGGTTTCCATTGTTCTGAATGAGAGATGAACCTCTTACATGTGAACGTTTTGTGGAAGAACCGTAACAGATATCTGTGAAATTTCAAAGCATGTCAAGGAAGTTGAGTATCTGAAGTGTAATTTTTGTGTAGTTTTGGGTTAATAATGTGGCCTTTTTGGCAGTTTAACTAAAGGTGTGCGGCTGCTACCATGAGGAAATATCTGCCTGAAATTACAATGGGCTTCAATGGAGGAATGTTGAACGTTTTTGTCACTTAATGCCCTCAAGAGTGTCTGTCTGTCTGTCTGTCTGTCTGTCTGTCTGTCTGTCTGTCTGTCTGTCTGTCTGTGTTAGAGTGTGTGTGTCTGTTTGTGTATCTGTCTGTGTGTATCTGTGTTTGAAAGAGTGTGTGTGTGTGCCTGTGTTTGAAAGAGTGTGTGCCTGTGTTTGAGAGAGAGAGAGAGAGTGTGTGTGTCTGTGTTTGAAAGAGTGTGTTTGTGTGTGTGCCTGTGTTTGAGAGTGTGTGTGTTTGTGTCTGTCTGTGTGTGTGAGAGAGAGAGAGGGAGTGTGTGTGTGTGTGTGTGTGTGTTAATTGTTACAGCTCAAATGTATTGCAAAAACTTCCATGTTAAAAGAAGACTTTAAAAAGCTGAATATTTTAAAAAGTATAACATATTTTGAAAAAGTTGAAAGTTGCCCATCATGTGCTGAAAAGGCTGAATAGTTTGATATTTGAATGGTTCCTGCAGCTGAAATTAGGCTGAAGGAGTTAAATAAATATATTAAATGTAAGCAGTAGTGATTGAATGTTTACAAACACCTGTGTGTGTAAACCCAGAGATCAAAGGTTTCCATGGTGTCTGCTCTGATTGGATGATGTGACTCGTGTGTGGCTCCAATCTGCCCAGCAACACCTTGACAACCAACTGCAGCACTGAGTCCCATAAGAATGCATTGAGGATTATATCTGACAATTTTGCCACCTGTTCAAAAACTATGGCTCTTATCAAAAAATGAGCAGACCGTGAGCATCAGGGAACCCCAATGAACTGAAATATGTTGTTTTTTGGGGTTTTGTGTGTAAAATGTGGAGATGGGAGCAGTTTGTCTAAAGTGTACTTCTCTCTGCTCTGAAGAAAGATCCAGAACAATTTAACATGGGAATCCATTGGGAGCTAGCTGGACTTTTTCTCTCTTCATGCCCTCAAGAGGCATTTTGTTTAATATTTGTTCTTATTTTATTTTAATTTTCAAAGCTAGGAGAGGTTTTCCTACGTTTTTCATGAAGAAATATGTCTGAGGAGTGTAGGGTTTGGGAATTATGGCAAGTTTAAAACATTTTTGGGGGAGAATTTCAGGCACTGCTGCACTCTGTTTTGAGATCAAAGCACTCTAGAGTTAATGAGCTGCTCCATCCACTCTAATGTAAAAATCTTAAAAATGCCTCTCTACCAAGCTCCAAACTAAATTCAATATCTCAAAAAGTTGAAAAGATATCAAAATTATTTTATACAAGTTTTATAGCTGAAGGTATTGTGATCATTTGAAAGTTGGAATGAAGTGTCTGGCTGAAATTATGTGGAAGGAGATGCATTTGGCGCAAAGTGTAGGAAAACAGGATTTGAAGGCATCTCCCATTGACTTCAATGTTAAAAAAATAGTTTAAAAAGCTGAATATTTCAAAAAGTATAACATATTTTGAAAAAGTTGAAGGTTTCCCATCGATTCCTGAACAGGCTGAATAGTTTAATATTTGAATGGTTTCTGTAGCTGAAAATAAGCTGAAGTTATGGAGTGCCAAAGTATTGGCTGAACTAAGGGGAAGAAGAATACATTTTTGAAGTACTATAGTGGAATGCTGTAAACAGCATTCGCACTAATTAACTTTTAAAAATAAATAAAAGAGAAATACAAGGTTATTAAGTCCACATTTACCGAAGGTGTGAATTTGACATTTTTCTTCATTTTATTTGTATTCTTTTCACAGTGGGACTCTGACCGAGAGGCCGAAGCTGAGAGATTTTTGACCGCATGAAGAGGCCAAGTGACGGGACACCGGTCCTCACCTAGACCTCTCCCACGAACCAATCCCCCCCCCTCCCCTGCCCCTGCATGGACATGGTGAGCTTTGTTTTATATATTGTGTGTGTATTTACCTTGGCCAAATGTAACTGTAACTGATCACGTTAAAACTGTAAAACACTCGTAAAACTGTGAAGTAACACATTTGTTTGTTTGAAACGCTTAATGAACTACATCTCTGGTCTTGCATACGTCACCAACACCAAGATGGCTGTCACGTTAGCACATTTCACCTCTTTCTTTCAGAATGAAGTGAAAAGTATTAAAAGAGGTGAAAATCACTACAAGTCTGGGCATGTTGAGAGCTGTACATGCACAAAAGGGGAGTTAGTCGGTTCTGTAAGAGCCAGCATGCGGGACCGGCTTTACAAGGTTTCGGTGAGTAACACGAGTGCAATGTGTAACGTTAATGTACGTGACTCTGGGATTTGTAGTCTTTCTAGTTGCGTATTTTTCATAGTCTTATATTTCAACAGTTTTAAGACAAACTGACTTTTTTTACATGGAAATTATTTTTTAAGATTGACAAACATCATATGTGTAATTCATGGCACAATTCAAACGGGATCGAAAGATACGTTTTCTCTCTCCATTGACTTCAATACATCATTTTTCAGAAATAAGGTCCCATGGGGCGGAAGTAGATGGGCGTGACTTCGCCACTCTACTGTATAAACCTCACAGCGGGCGGAACTTTTCATAAAGTCCGCAAAAATAAAGCCCACCCATTTAGAGGGAAGATATGATTGATCAATTGTACTGTCAGTTGACATTACTCTCGTTGAGTTACCCTAGCTGGCCCTCTGTGAATTTACAGCAGGACCACCAATCAGCTCCTATCTTCGCAGAGACGAGCTTCTTTCATTTGACCCTTCACATTCCAACAGAAACTGAACAGGCAGATTCTAAGGATTTATTTCTTTGGACATTTTATTTTAAATACAATTAAATGAAGTTATTTTGGTAAAACTAATGAAAAATATAACTAAAAAAATATTTTAGAATTTTTTTTTTTTTTAATGTTTTAAAATATAATTTTTGGGAATATCTTAGGCCCTCAGAGAGGGCCCTGACGGCTCACCACTGGTTAGATGTCATCCTCTGAAGTGGTTTGATAGAAAGAACATTTATTTTTATTTCTGTGTGTGTCAGATTGAACTGAATGGCATCCACCGACAAACCCAGCAAAGCAATTAATTAAAGCAGTGAACCTCATTACCATGTAATTACAGTGCGAGCCTCAACACCCAGATGTCTCGTAGGTAACAAATAAACAAGCCTGACGTGGCACGGTCATCCAGAATCAGTGTTGAGGCCGTGAAAGTCCTAATCTTTCATTTAGATCTTGTTAATGTTTGTGTGTACGTTTTGTGTGTTATGGCTCTTGACACCGGCCACACTTGCCTGTACACAGCCTCGAATGCCCCCGGCAGTTCAGCGAGAGATTAGCTAGGTCGTGATGAATGACCCTCGCAACTCCAGCACAAGCCCCCGGGAGTCATGGCCATGAATTATTAAAGCACCATCATAAATAACTCACCGTAATGAGGGTGTGCTTACACGCTGCGGGCGGGGAGAGAGGCAGGAGAGGAAAAAGGGGATATGGAGTTGAAAAGGAATGGGTGATGGAGAGAGATAGTAGTTTGACCTTGGACTGGAAGCCTGGTTTGAAGCCTTAGGGGAATTCATCCACAAAAAACACACTGGACGCTGCACTAGGTCAGAAACCAGAGGAGACTGTGAAGTCCACCGTAGACGACCACTTTTGGACAAAATGCACTCTCCATTAAAGGCAGCTCATTGTGGAATAGCCTCCCAACTGAGATACGGGATTGTCCCACTCTCAATAGTTTTAAAGGTCAACTAAAAGAATGTTGAGAAACAAACAGATGTGCAATCACCGCTAAATGCACTTTAACACAGGGGTATCTCCTCTTGCACTTTATGTAGCTATTTTATCTTCTCTTGCACTTGTCGTTGCTGCTATATTGTACTGCCATGTGGTAAATACTTGTGTGTGCTGCTCTTGCTCTTTTGCACTTTTTGCATATCATGTATTTGTCTTTGCTATGTGTATAATTGTCATGTTCTTAAATGTTGTATGTGAGGGACTGCGGATGGAAATGAGCTCTAAGCTAAAATCCGGCATATTTACATTATTTGCATTTTCTTGTTTTAAGTGTTCATTAATTTGCATTGTCTCTGCTAAATAAACGATTAAATTAAATTAAATGGTTTGATGCTCGTCTGACTTGTAAAAACGACCATGTAGCAAATTTTGCACATCGTCAGCCCTTTTTATTCCTCTCGCTCTATTCCTCTAACGGTACGTCCACACAGCAGCTTTAAACAAATCTTCCAATGCTTCTCTGCCCATTGACTTTGAATGGGGATGACGTCACTTTGCCTCGCTTTCCGCCGAACTGCATTGTGGGGGAGCGAAGCGAAGATTTCCAGGATTTCCAGGATTTTCAGGATTCAAAAGTTGAGCAATGTTCAACTTTTGAAGCTGAGCTGGAAGCATCAGCCAATCAAATCCCGTTTATGCAAATCTGACAGTACAAGCGTCAGCCAATCAAACCGCGTGCAAGCAGGGAGAGCCAGACCGCAGTTCATTTCGTCATATTCCAAACGAGAAATTACGGTATTAAATCACCCGGTTCTTTACGACCAAACTATTTACCGGGATACAAACCGGAGGAACCAGGCATGGAGGGAGGTGGCAGAGACAGTGGGTGAAACTGGTAGGGTTTCGCCTGTTTGGGGAGTTTATATATTGCTCGCATAAAATCCCCGGGGTTTTTTGCTTTGTATGTCGGGGGCGGGAGATTCATGGGATTAGTTGTTGGTCGCGTTGCTCGCAAAAAATCCCCAAACTCAAGGACACGCCCAGCTCCAAGATTTTCAAGATTTTTTCAAAGCTGCTGTGTGGACGGGGAATAAGTCAGGGGTGCCCAACCAGTTGATCGATCGCGGGGAGATTCCCAGTCGATCGCGAGATGTGTCTAAAAATAGAACAACAATATTCTGTTTTATCGTTAATGTCCTATAACATAATCTTCCCGTGCCAGAATAATGCACTTGAACGCATCAAAGCTTTGTGATTGGCCGGCGTGACCCCATGTGTGGGGGCGTGGCTGGTGGGCAGTGGGCACTATTTCGCTGACGTTGTCCGTGGCAACAGGAGTGACAATCCGCACACACACACACACAAGACCGCAATTATGGCAGAAGCAAAAAAGCCCAAAATATATAATTTTCACTCCGAGTGGGAGGATGATTATTTTTGTATCTATTCCATTTCAAAGTCCATCTGTCTCATCTGCAATGCGAGCGTAGCTTTATCGAAGAAGGGTAATTTAGGAGCGGCATTTCAAAACAGTGCACAAACGCTACGAGACGGAATTCCCTCCTAATTCTGCCTACGCTCCCAAAAGGGGAGGGGCCTGAAAGGACAGCTAAATGCACAGCAGTCCATTTTCACCAGGCCCAACAACAAGAGCAAGGCTGCTACCATAGCATCGCGTCACGTTCTTACGAAACACATGAAGTCTTTCAAAGACGGCGAAGTTGTGTAAGAAGCATTCCTGGAGGCTGCCGACGCGCTTTTTGGGGACAGTAAAAATAACAGTAGCATTTCAACAGGTTTTTGATATAATAAAAACTCAAGTTAGATACCGTTATTAATCAGCTGTAAGTTTTTGTTTGTTTGAACTTATTCATTATAATTATTGTACACAATGGTATAAGAATGCAAACTTAAATTGATTATAGTCTATTATCAATTCAGGTTAAGAAACTAGTGTTGCTTGCATCCTATTTTAAAGGCATTTATTTTTATACTCTACTAAAATGCAACAAAAAAAGGGTTTGATTCTATTAATTTTGTCTTTTTATTGCACTTTGGCAGCAGATTCCTGTGTAGCTTCAGATCTGAGTTGTCTTATTAGTAAGCCTAATTTATACTTTTGTAGCAACACTATTTTTATATAATGGCAAAGAAAGGGTTCAGAGTATTTTCTTTTTTTCCTGTGTCATATGTGGCAGCACTGTTCAATGTTTCTTGAAAGCATTATCCACTGTAGTATGTGACGTGTGAATAAACTCCAACTCTGTATCAACAACACTGTTGTGTAACTTCAGTTAAATACTTGTATGTGTGTAGATTAGAAAGAGGTAAGATAAAGGATCTGCAGTATTTTATGAAGTATTCATCGTACCAAGGTCAGTTTTATACAAGTAGAAGTGTGTATATGCAGGAGCTCCAACAAGCCGTTTAGGACAGAGAGTGAATACACATACTATACAGAGATGCTGTATGAGAAACCAATTTGAGTTTCGAAAATTGCACAGTATAAATCTATTCTAGTAGACCTCAACAATGGAATTATGATCAGTAGAAATGGCCATGACATGGGATCTTTAAGTAACGGCGGATGTATCTGGGCCACGCAGAGATTGGCAGCAGTGCAGGTCTCTTCAGGTGTTGCGGAGTCATACTAGGGCATACTGAGTCTTGGACTGCGAGCCCTGGATCTTGAGTCGTGGCTGTGCCTGTTGCTGTGGTCCTGGATCATAAGTCCTGGATGGATATCCTCGTGGATTAATCTTCTTATTATAGACACATGCATTTCCAAACATTTGGACTACCTATGTTGTATATTAGGGATGTTCCGATCGCCAATTTCGGGGCCGATCGCCGGAATCAGTATCGGCCGATACCGATCGCCGATCCGATCGAGTGGGCGGGGCCTAAATGGAAGATTTAAACATCACTTTAAATCTTCCATTTAAAGTGATGTTTAAACTCAGTTAATGGGGCTCATTCACTGGAGCTTCCACAAACAACAATCAACTTAATTATTACATTCAAATGATGTACATTATTCAAGTTTACATTCACTTTGGATAATAACACGGGAGAAATGAGCGGAAGCGCTCTCTTTTCCTCTCTCCCCCCTCTCTCCCCCTCTCTCCCTCTCCTGACAGCCTGTCAGTATCTCATGCAGCTCACTGATCCAGTAATGAGTGACCCGACAGTGAAGAATACATATATTTATAATGACTAGGTTAGCTTGTTCCAGAGGTAGATAAAATAGCTAAGTGTGTTAGGTAGTGCTGGGGGGAAACGATTATTTTGAAAACGATTAATCGGGCGATTATTTGAACGATTAGTCGACTAATCTAACGATTATTTTTCTGTTGTTCAATTCATAAAAAACGTAATGTAAAAAAAACGTAATGTAAAATTTTTTTTTTTCACGATACTGTGTCTCAGGGGATCTTAATATTTAAGAACCTATTAATGTGTTATACCAGATTAACGGAAATAATCTCAGCTAATTGGCGATACAAACCATGTTTACCAAAACAAAACACAAGTCTCATAAGAAGCATCTAAATGACCCCTGAGCGAAAAATGCTAACGGACATTGGCACAGAACTCAAGATAAAAGTACCCTTATTACTTATCGTAGCTGCACATACAATATATCCGATTAAAGCTGAGACTCCACAGATTATGTAGGTATATAGTATCATCACTGAGTGATCCGGACTCGCGACAGGGGAAGCAAATACAGTCATCACAACACGTACCTTCACAGAGCTTCTAGGGAGATCGTCTCACCACCGTAGCTGTCAATCTGATCAAAAGACGTGTTCAATGGCATTACAATGAGAAAAAACGCGGCTGAATCGGTTAATCCATAGGTTTTTAACGTCTATGTATAAAAAAATGATTGAATTTATAATCCATAATTCCATTTTAATGAAAAATCGGAGAGCAAATGCTAGCTGCTAATGGTAGCCACCACAGCTAGCTGCTGCTTCTGCTAGGCTATGCAGCAGTCTCAGTGAGATATAAATATCTTTGCGTTTTGGACTAACTTTAAAATATTCCCATGCTTTTGAAGACCTAGGGCGAGATGTTTTCGTTTGGGGGCTTCGTGCGCAATCCTGTGAGGAGGAGGTGGTAGCCGTTTCAGTCTCCATTGTGTTTGAAGTGCGATTGCGAACTGCTTGTTGCTTTGGGTGACCCACGTGTGTGTAGCGACGCGTCGACGCGGAAATATGTCGTCGACGATATTTTGAAGCACTAGTGTTAGGTCTAACTCTTGTGTGTTTCGCTCCGCTTACCGGTCCGGCGGGCGGAGCTGCAGGATTTCTGCTTCACACACGTTGCATACCGCTATTTTACTGTCTTTTTCGGACACCTTAAAATAATGCCAGACCGGTGAAGCCATTTTGGCGAGCTTGTTTTGCCGCACACACAGAAAAGTGTCATGTATTTTACGTCATGCGATCGGCATGTTTAGAGAGCACCGATCGATCGGTAGAGAGTGAGTATCGGCCGATCTCGATCGGTGACCGATCGATCGGAGCATCCCTATTGTAAATGTATTATCTTTCCAATTTACACACGGCATCTATGGCACGTCTGTCCGTCCTGGGAGAGGGATCCCTCCTCTGTTGCTCTCCCTGAGGTTTCTCCCATTTTCCCTTTAAACTGTGGGTTTTCTCCGGAAGTTTTTCCTTGTACGATGTGAGGGTCTAAGGACAGAGGGTGTCGTATTGTCATACTGATATTCTGTACAAACTGTGAAGTCCACTGAGACAAATGTAACATTTGTGATATTGGGCTATATCAGTGTTTCTCAAACTTTTTCATACCAAGGACCACTTAACCAATAAAAAAACACTCGCGGACCACCTAACTCCAAAAATATCACAAATTGCCTAAAATGGTACAAACAAGTTCGCTCCATTGCGGAGATATTCCCACGAGAGTGCGGAAAACTTATTTATTTAAAATGTGAAATGTTACCAATATACTCAAGAGCTCACGGACCACCAGTGGTCCGTGGACCACACTTTGACAAGCACTTGGCTATATAAATAAGCATTGATTGATTGATTGATTGATGATTCCTCTCTGGATGTCCTTGAGTTTCACTCTGAACCTGCTCCCGCTGTGGGATTCATACTGCATCAGCTAGAATGAAAACCTAAAATAAAAAATGACCATGTCTTTTTTTCTTCTCTCCTGAACCCAGAGGTCTTTCAGATCGTTTGCTAACGACGACCGCCATGTCATGGCCAAGCACTCCAGCATATACCCGGTACCAGAGGAGCTGGAGGCCGTCCAGACGCTGGTGTCCACTGTGGAGGGAGCACTAAAGAAAGTATCTGATTGGATGGATGGACTAAATAAATCCTCAGGGAAGACCTCCAGCAATAATGAGGCTGGGGACATTCAAGTGGAGGCAGATGCTGCTGAGACAAAGTATGTCCTGCTGAATGTGCTGTTATTTTAGGGTTGTTTTAATGTTCATACTGTGATGATTTAAAGCTGACAGTTTATACCGTTCTGTCCAGAGAACATCTCTTCTTTGATTATAGTAAGATGGTCCTGCTCAGTGGGAAAGTTAGCTGAAATGTCTAGTCTTTCAGGTTTCATTATTATATTATCTGCCTCTACTCCTGTGACATGATTTAATGTTCAAAAAGGTCTTTATTTTTATCATACTGCCTGCCTCTTTTATCCATTTCCTCAATACAGTGCTACATCCTTTCCCTCATAAAAATGTGTTCTGCTGTAAATTATCATCAGGAGGGAACATGTGATGATTGGTTGATGAAACAAGCCCAACAAGAAATCATAAATCCTCAACATTTGGCACGTTACCTGAAAATACACACAGAGGTTCTGCACTCAGAAATCATCTCAGACAGGATACAGAGAGGAAGATGATTTATAGAAATAAAACACAACCAGGACAGACATAAATAAATATATTGTATTGTTGCTATATACTGTAGGAGGATGTCTAGTCAGCAATGTTTTTGCAAAGAGAATTACCAGAATGTCTCCAAGAAGAATCATTTAAAAAACCCTAAGCAATAAGTGTCAGTTCACCCAGAATACCAAAACATATATTTTTTCTTAAAGGGGCCCTATTATGCTCATTTTACAGGTCTCCACGCTTTAATGTTCAAAAAGCTCTTATTATTATCATACTGCCTGTGCTGCAGCACCTCTTTTCACCCTCTGTCTGAAACCTGAGTCAAATCTGCTCTGATTGGTTAGCTGGCTGGCTCTGTTGTGATTGGTCCACTAAACTAAACTAAGATTAGCATTAGCATGTGTATATAACAACCTATATGTTTTCTAAATGCAGTGGTTTATGGTAGCATTAAACGAAGTGAGCATAGCAAGGGCTCCTTCAACTAAAAGCAATAGGATTTTTGAAATGGATGTCAGAATATTGCAGAACATACGTTTCTGTTTAGATTAGATTCAACTTTATTGCAAAATGCAGTTTGCATCAAACCAGAAAGTGCAAAGAGAAGGTAAAGTGTTAAATGTTCCAGTATCTGTGGCAAACACACGTTTATAATATATTTTGTTCAGCAGGATAACCTTCACATATTTTCTAAATCAGCATCAGTAAGCTAAAGTCTGCCTTTGTTTGGTGTTATGATACACGGTTTGCTCACTTGTCACTTGTTAGCAACCGATACATAGAAGCTTCGGACATTTATGAGAGGGGTATTTATTGACACGTTTTATGTCGTAGAACAAAACGTGAAAATCTCGTAGGCTTGTGTTAACCACAGTTGAACCAGTGTTGACCTTATTTCTGTCAAAAAAGCCTTGAGGCGAGGTAACTCAGAGGAGCTTAAACGGTAACTTCCAGATGTAGGACTCATTACTGCACCACTTTATATACTACCATCCTATATGATCTTATTTTAGCCTCCTGACCAAACAACTGTTAATTAAATACAATAAAACTTTGACTTGATTTCCGGAGTTTAGGACTGATTACTGCACCACCCCATAGTTTCAATAGTTCTCAACATGTATTTGTGTCAGCTTTTCTATGTGAACAGAATAATCTGATGCTGGCTGTCCTCCATCTTCCCTCAGGCCCGACCACACGCCAGCGCTTTGCGGGGTGACGCGTGTCGGTCTGGTGGCCAAAGGCCTGCTGATCAAAGGGGACATGGACCTGGAACTGGTGCTGATGTGCAGGGAGAAACCCACCAAAGTGCTGCTATACACCATCAGCGCCAACCTCCCCCTGCAGATCCAGGTACCCGCAGCCCACCTGCAGCACTGCAGTGTTCAGCACTGTGCATCCAGAATGAGCCATCAAAGTGCCACAGAGGAAGCAACCTTGGCGCTCTTTAAAAGGCTTCTTTGTGATACTAGCTTCAGTGGAAATACTTGTCCACAGAGAACAACCAGAAAGCCATTTTTGTGTGACAAAAGAACTCTGTCGGGTGAAATAAAAAAAAGACATACCTGAAGATCAGAATAATAATACTAATGGCACATTTAGTGGACTTATACATTCTAAATGTAGCTTCATTTGCATTGTGCGACACTATAGACATAATGTACGGTAATAAGAAGGTTTAAAAAAGAAAAACACTAACTTTCTTATGGTTGTGTGGAATTTCAGCAGTGATGCACAAATTGTCACTATGTTTACACATTTAAGTGATACATGTCCCTGTCCTTAAGCCTAATTTAATGTAAGTAAAAGTAGATGAAAATTAAAAAAATATTATAGAAGGGAATTACGATGTATTAACTTCGTAATCGTAGCTTTAGGCATATTATAATACATTATTCATGCCAATAACATTTTAATAACACTACCATCATATATTTCCTTATCTTTTAAATTGTTATAGTCTTGCCATAAACAAACAATTACTATAAAAAAGGGCGTAATTTACGTGGCAATTGATAATTAATCAATAATTGAATTTTATTGATAAAATGTTATCAATTATCATCCCTAGTCTAAAGGGATGGTCTACACAGCCAAACAAATACAACATAGATCAGAAGAATATTTAATTTTCCAATAAAGTAAAAGTTCACCAATTGTGGGAGAAATGTTCCCTCTCCATTCATTTAACTGAGCCCCATATCGAGAGATCTGAGGCTCAACAAAAACTCAAGTGTTCATGCTCTATGGACCCAGATATGGGTACTTTTTCGATCTACTGTATAGTCACTCCATTTTGGGCTTCATGTGTCACTGAGCAACTTTCATAGACATGAACGACGGCCCGCCTCCGACGCTGTATGCAGTTTTCTTCATACATCCTTAGTTCTCGATGGCAGCTTCTATTACTTCTGAACAGCAGCATTTAAAGAGTAAAGATAGAATTCTTGATAATCGGCATTATTAGCATTAGATTAGAAAACATTTTTAGTTATTAAGTGAAAACCATCTCAAAAATACCTGTGATGTGCACTATTGTGTTGTTTTTATTTCAACCCATCTTTTATTGAAATCAAATGCTGCTTAAAACATTTGTATGACTGCAGAACAAGTTGAATTCATTAGCAACACAAACCAGTTCAAGAGTTCAAGCCTGAGTAAAACAGAATAATGATGAATCATTTTCATGGGCGAAATAAATAATTTCTCAGTAAGGAAAAACTGATTTGTATTCTTTAACCAGATCAAAGGATGCTTTTTGGTTAGTAGAAGAAGACTCAATGATAGGAGATGGTTTGAAGTGGATATGATATGAAACAGGAAGTGGCACTGAGTTTTATGTCTGTCTCCCTGACGTGTGTAAAGCCCAATCTTCAGAGCATGTGGACCCTCTCTTTACAGAACTAACTGTTATTTGTGATTTCTCCCTGCAACACTATGAGCCTTGTGGGTTATCATAAGATCTCTACCCTTCAGATGAGTTTCAACAGAGCCCCACCCCCCTCTTTAAGCATCTGCTAGCTAACATTGTCGACGTGCACAGTGCTTCCTGTGCCCCCCCTCTCAGTTAATTACCTGCCATATCTGCAGTGCCGGCTTCATCATAAACGGAGGAAACCGTTTGAAGCTCTCATTTCCTGGGCCAAGCTGTGAGAGATTGACAGGGAGAGGGGTGATGGATGTGGGTCATTCCTCGCAGGGAGAGATAGAGCACTTGGCAGCGGAAAAAACGGGAATCGGAAAAGCAAGATAGTTTGGCGTGCTGGCAATAACAGCCGGGGTTCAAGCTGTAAATGAAATTTGGTGGTAAACACAACAGTTTGTGTGCCTTTTGCTGCTTCCTTTGGCCCTTATCATACCAAAGCATAGGAAATCAGGGTTTATACTCTTTGGGATTCTTACCGTTGCTTGTTGATGGGATCATTAGCTGGCAGCTAGCAGTACCCATGTTGCTAATCTGAAGAAATATTTGTGTTCGTATGATGGACTGAAAGTGTGTTGACATCTGAGTAACGCCCTTTTACAAACAAATGTAAAAGTCTGTTTCTGAACTGCACTGGAGGTTTCATTGGGGTTTAATATTGTTGAGTTGTTACAATTAAATGCCTGTTGTCAAGGCAAATAAAGTACATTTCTGTAAATACAAGTCTTTTATGTGTAGGCCACTGACCTTGTTCTAACAGCTTGTCCCAAACAGAGTAGAACAGCAGCGCCTCGTTCTCCACAAACAGCAGCAGTCAATGTTTCCACTGTTAATTAATGGTGCAGCCCTGCCTTGCAGACAATGACGGAGGACACATTTGAGGTGCAGTCGTGCGTCCCCGAAGCAGCCATCCGGGTCCGCAACACCAAAGACCCTCGACTCACGCTGAAGATCACCCTCTCCTCCTTAACCATGAGGGAGGAACACAGCCCCACAGAAGAAGGTATTGACCCCTCATCCCCTCTGCCCCCCATGCCTTACCCCCTTTTACGCTTCCTGTTTGAGAAGATGCTTGCTCTGTTTTTATTTGAACCGTTTCCTGCCAACAGAGGGCTGAGAGGAAGGATTATATAGAGGGAATGTGAAGGTATACAAGTGCTATGAAACCTGAGCTTTATGTGGGAGACAGCCTGGAGAACATTGGGAAGGATGATACATTGAGAGAGCTGAGAGGCCAACAGGGGAAAGGAGAAGGGACAATATGGATCTGGGTCAAGTGTAGGGGAAATAGCAGATGGCCGATGAAGGATGATTCCACAGGGGTTGTTCTAGATTGGGATTGGGGGGAAAAGGACACGTCTGTCCCAGGTGTCCTCTTCCATATCATCCTGCATCTGAGAAAGACGATTCAGCTATCCAATAATCAGAGTATAGTACAGGAATTTAAAGAATTCATCTTTAAAGAAAAGGAGCTGGGTGTTAGGCAAAGTTGTTCAGTGTGTTGCCGGGAGCATATAAGGATTTATCCACGATGTTGAACATTGAAAAAAAATAATAATAATATATTTTTATAACATAAAGATAAAAAGGTTTTAAAAAGTTGTTGTTTAATGTTTTAAGGAGGTGACGCTACTCAGCCAATCAAATCGGTGCAGTCAGTGAGTCAGCACGATAGATTCAAACACACACAGAGACGAGACAAGAAGAGAGAAACAGTCGGAGTCATTTCAAATGGCGTGCTCAAAAAAGAGAAAGTTAGACAGCGAAAACAGAGCATTTAATGACATGTTCTCTTAGTAATAGAAATAGTAAAATACTAAATCATCTGGGTTTTAGGACTAATTCCTGCACCACTCTATTGGGCAGCGTTAATATAGGCAGAGATTGTTTTTCTTGTTAACAGATCAGCTGATGCCATGAAAGAGATTAAAATCTCCCAGTTAATTGTATCCATTTTTGGAAAGTTCTTGCACACCAGGAACAGTTATTGACGGGTGTGCTGGATCAAAAGAACTCCCACTTTTGCTGTATTTTTGTGAAGTGGTGAGTAACAGTCTAACTGATGCCCTCTGGCTCTGAATTGATCCCTGGTGTGAAGCTAGCCTCTGCTCACTGACTGTTGGTTTTGTTGCCGTAGTTCCGCAGGTCAGCGCTGTGTGGATTGACACTTCTCTGCGGCCCCGTTGCTGACGAGGCGCCCCCCCCCCACAACCCGGCTACAGGAAACCCCGGGTACAAGGGGCTTCCCCAACAACTAAATCAAACCAACCCTCTCACTCTCTGCCTCAGACATGCTCCTCTTACCCCCCCTCCACCCTCTCCTCTTTTGACTGGACTTCTCTCTGGGTCACCATGAAATTCTGGTCCATGTCTACTACCGAGCACTTAGACTAAAAATGACTCCGGCTTCTCTGCTTTAATTACAGGGGATGACCCCTCTCTGGTGTTCAATTTGCATTGGCTCAAAATGACATCCCATAATTTCATGTTGTAGAAAAACGGTGTTAATTAAGTTAATGTGATGTCCTCGTCACTAATCAAAATTCACCTAAGCTGATTATGTCAGGGAGAATTTAGTAGGGGTTGTCCTTATCTGTCTGTGGTGTTGACCTGTGACTGATGGTTCCTTTATGGCGTGCCTCTGGGAAACAGCTTCTGAAAAGCATCAATCATGCCACATAAATGAATGCATACATACTTGAACAATTCTCCATCTTTCACAAAAGAGCTGGAATAATCTTGTTTTTTTAATTACCATATTCAGGTTATTTCTTAGTATCTTATTTTATGGAGTCTTGGGTGTGCTACCTACATCATTTAGTGTTTGCTGACTTTGAATTAGATCTAATTTAATTTGTAGGTAGCCCTCTGCCTACACGTTTAACATTTAAAAATAATTATATTTCAATTAAAGCTGATCGAAAAAAGAGACTAACTGTGAATGCAGGAGATGGATTAATTTGTGAGATGAAACGTGATTGGACAGACAATGTAAGTAGGTAAGCAAATAAGGGCTGTGACATTAAAAACATTTCAATTGACATGTATACATTTCATATGAACAATTATATGAAAGTCCCATTATTATTGACATTAAACATACTGTTGGACTTTAACCTTGACCCGACCTTTAAGCTGCCTTAAAAAGCAAGTGTGCTGCTTAACCATCTCTGCTGAAGCAACACATTATTCTATATATATATATATATATATATATATATATACATATAGAACTAATAATGATAAATAAAATGTTATTAATATTTAAAACTGAGATGCTCTATAGTTATTCCCATGGCACTCTCGCGAGTCCTTAGGTTGTAGTTATAAAAAGGTATGATGAAATCCCTGACAGTTTTAATGTTTATCTTTTTAAGTATTAACTTGGGTCCAAAACTTAGGGAATTACTGCACAAGACAAAAGCTTCACCCTCAAAACTTTATAAACTTACAAGAATAAAATTCAACAAAGTATTTTTTCGGAAATAAATCGTAATTTAACGTCTTTTTTTGTGATTTCCCTTCAATTCTCAATTACATTTGTTTCGGAGTCTCCATGTGCACAAAGGTAAACTCAGATTGTACCTGAAAGTGCCGAATTAGAGAAGTTTACTCTTCCAATGCCACTAATAGTGGTAGATATTTTACCCAGAATTCCCAGGGGCGGAACATAAAGGATCCTAAATCTTAGGTCTTAGAGGAGGAGTGACACTGGACGAACCCCGTGTCTCATCAGCTCCTTCTTTGTCTTCCACCTCTTCCATCCTCTTCAGCTTCTCACACGGTCTCTTCAGCAACAGACTGCCAAACCACATGCCGCTCACATTGCTACTGATGAATCACACACACACACACGCGCACACACACACACACACACACACACACACACACACACACACACACACACACACACACACACACACACACACACACACACATTGGAATTGTAATACTGTGTGTATCTGGAATTAGAGACTTGACTGTAACGTCCTCTCTAGGAGCCGGAGCTTATTTGAATGCTCTGTGTCAGCATTACTGTCAGCCTGGTAAAAAATAGCCATGATTTAATCTTGGCTGGCTGCTGCTCTTTAGAGAAGAGTTTGTTGAACCATAATGCCACTGATTCCACACTGATGAGACATTTATCATCATCTAATATTTGCGACTTGGCAGGCTGAAGATAATGTTTCAATTCGCTATCGCAGATTCCCTCCTGATGATTCACTGATAGCCTGTGAGCCGTCACCACTGAGCTCCGCAGTGTGGTTTGCAGTCTGTTCCTCCCACCCTTATTTGTTCGTCTGCTTGACTGTCCCACAGCGGGCACCCCTCAGCCGCTCCCGAGAACAAACGGCCTTCACTTTCTTTCCAGGGTGGCGTTCTCACTCAGATGTTTATGTTGTCCTTGTCATCTGCTGTCACTCTTTATTCTGCTGTCGTTCTCCCATGGCTCGCCTCCAGTCTTGGCAGGAGCGCTCCCCCACAGGAACCCGTGTGGAGAGACTGTCAGTCAAACATAAACATCTGACCGGCCCCGCAAGACTGAAAATACTAGCATGGCGCCGCAGAAAACTGCAGCATTTTTTTTATTTAAGCGGGATGACTTCCCCTCTCAAGTAGAATTGCTAAAAAAGCAAACGAAAAAAAGTGAAACCAAGAGAAAAAAAAAATCGTGAATTTGTTATCTTGATGAGCCAGAATTTCCATTTGCATCAAACGGGCCCCTGTTCCAAAGTGTTATTATAATCTTTCATTTGGCTTTTGGCCCCCTGTTTTCGCCATGCTTTCATTTTCGTCCTGCGCTGTAATTGATAACACACTAATCCGGCGTGCTCCATCGCCTCCAGCCACTGATCTGCATCTAGAGTGAGACTCCGGCCGGGCGGCATGTGCTCACGTCTACTCCGGTTCCTCCTGTCGATGTCATGAAAGATCCTGCCTTGTGCATGAGAAACCCACCCCCCCTCTCCCAAAAAAGACAAAACAAATGTACAGAACCTCTCAAATTTCCCCTTCGCTCATTCGGTCAGATCAGTGGGTTTGACTAATAATTAGCAACCCTGCTGCTTGTGTGTCTGTTTCTGAGTGTGGGAGGTCACGCTCAGTCTGTCCCGTCTCACCCTGTCCGTCTCTCCAGAGAAAGGCCATCAGGACGACAGGGAGCAGGAGGACAAGAAACAGAAGGAGGATGAGGAAGAGGAGGAAGAGATCCTGGACAGGCAGAAGTGCCGGGCTGCGCTGGCTTCACTCCGACACACCAAGTGGTTCCAGGTGAGAACATCTGGACCAATGACACAATCACTCTCTGAGTCCGACCCTGAACATGCAGTGAATGTCACATTTGATTACAATGAAGCACAATCACATAATAAAGACAGACTTTTTAAAAGCTTCAGATGTACTCATTTGTAGGCAGCAGCTGTTTCATACACAGGCTGATGACTTCAAAATATATATATATATATATATATACTTCATTATTTTTTACGTCTTAGGTTTACCAGAATAAGCGCAAGGGTTAAAGCATTAACTACATAATTACAGGTTTTAAATGAAGCGGAGACATTTTAATCTGCTTTTATATACTAATGTGTGGCTGCAGCTGTTTTAAACATGTGTTACAATGATTTGCTAGTTAAAGGGGTTTTATTATGCTTTTTGAGGTTGCTTCCTCTCCTGTGTGTTATATAGGTTTGTGTGCATGTGAATGGTCTGCAAACCCTCAGCTGTCACTGTCGGCAGAAAATGCCTGTTTTATAATTGTATGAAGTTTGTAAGTATGTAATGTTGCATGCTTTCTAAATGGGCCCATGTGTTGTCCAGTTGGTGAAGATGTTACCTCATTTCCATGTGTTTTGGCACATCTTTTATTTATTTATTTTTTTCATAGTTTTTAAAAGTGCAGCAAGTTTCTTCTAACGTAGGTGTTTGAGCACATCTGCCCCACTCTGCCACTGTACTAATCTAATGGCATTATTTGAATGCAATGAACTCCTAATGTTGATGATGACAGAAGTGGATAGAAACATGCATTTGCATTTTCTTTTGCTGATTATTTTTTAATTTAATTTAAATTCACATTACCTATCATAAATAGTGGTAGTAAAGTAATGTGTGCGCATTACAAATATCCAGCAACTGAAATCATTAAAAGCACATTAACTGGCAGGTAAGAGAAGAGAATAGACAGCAGGGACATGTTTCTGTTCTGTCGAAATGTTGGAGGAAGAACTTGGCAGAGTGCGATGTAACTGAAGGTCATGAAGAGATTCTTAACCAAATCAGGTTTCAGATGAGCTGAGAGTTATCCAGCGCTGGAGAGACAGAGGAGAGTCAAGGGCAGGTGAGCAGCTTCCCTGAGGGAAGGAGAACCAGATGCAGAGTAATACCACAGTGAAGGCTGCTCTAAAGGTGAAGCAGAGCAAGGCCGGTTCTCTTTCATCATATTCACGCGGGTGTACTATGAGCCGAGGACCTCCACCCCTGTAATCACTGCAGATGCCCTTAGTGGCAATCCTCTCATCCAATCCGCTGTAAATGAAAGCACCCGAGTTAAATCACCAGCTGTATTTGAAGGAATATTCATTTGGTGCAAATTAGAAGTCTCCATTGTCTCTAGTTTGATTAGTTGTTTATGTTAATGTCATCATCTTTAAGATGTAGTCTTCAATTTCCATCAGATTAGATCAGAATAGATTATATAAAATGAGGATGGATTCATTGCACTTGAGGTAAAAATGAACATAAACTGTTAATGTTATAATCTTTAAAATGACATTAGATGATATTAGATTAGATTCAATCAAATCAGATACAATTAGATTAGACAAAATTAATCAATTGATTTTAAATAGGAATTTATTCGATAAAAACTGATCAGATTTACATCAAATTAGATCAGATTTAATTGGATAAGATTTATTTAGATTAGATTGAATTATATTAAATTTAACTTCATTTAATTAAATTAGAATAGATCAAATTGAATTATACACATTTAAATCAAATACACTTTGATAAGATTAAACTTGATTAGATACAATTAAATAAGATCAAATTAAATACAATTAGATTATGATAGATCAGATAAGATTTGTTTTATTTATTATTTTAATTATGGCTATAGCAGCAGGTTAACAAGGCATTTGACATACATTCACAAAGAAATTACAAATATCAATAATAAATCAATACATATCTAATAGACAAACCTATATTTATAAAGCATCTCTATCAAATACAAAATGAGTTAGTAAACACTATGATTGACCAACAAAATATAAATACTTTATACAGTATATTATATGAGTTAGGAGTAGTTGCAATCTTTAAAATAAAATGTAGAATTTAAATGCAATTGTTCACACTTCCATCCTTTTAATTTGTTTAGCAACATGAGACCAGGGGTTGTAATTATATTTTCTCTGGATAAGCACTGGATTTCATGTGGGTCAACTTGGGGATTTCCATTGGTTTTATTAGTTCATGTATATTCATGTCACTAAGTGCAGAGATGTCCAGTGAAACTTATGGTCAACCATATAATACTCCTGCCACGGCTTACAAATGACTACAGTAGTTTCCCTATGAAGAGGCAAGGGGGGGGGGGGGGATAATATAACTACAATATATGACCAGGATGCCTGACACAGAAATCTACTTAAAAGCATTTCACAGTTGAGTGCAGGGGGGAGAGGACTCAGCATTGAGTGCTTACATATATGCTTTTTATCGAGTACTGCACATCAGTATTGGAACAAACATTACATTTCTTAAAAATACTACTTGATTAATTTTAAAGAGGCCCCATTTGACACCTATGTCGTGTATTCTTGGGTTACATTCTCACAATAACTGCTCGATGTTCTTTGATTCCAAATGAGAGGACTCTTATGCTGCGTTCACACCGGACGCGATGCGATGTTTGGGGGCGGCGCGATTACATGTAAAGTCAATGCAGAGACACGGACAGACACGAATTCGCTCCGACGGCGAGCATGAAGCGGTGGACGCGAATGTCGCGGCGCGATTGAGGCAATTGGAGGGGGCCGCGTTAAACGCTCGAGTTCAATTTGTTCAACTCGAGCGTCAAATTCCCGTGACGCGGTCTCGCGGTAGCCAATCGGCGGTGAGGATCTCAGCCTGCCTAAATAGTTCTGGTCGGAAAGAACCGGGTGATTTGCTACCGTAATTTCTCGTTTGGAATATGAGGAAATGAACTGCGGTCTGGCTCTCCCAGCTTGCACGCGGTTTGATTGGCTAGCGCTTGTACTGGCGGGAATTGCAAAAACGGGATTTGATTGGCTGACGCCAGCTTCGAGCAAGCATCGAGCCTCAAAAGTTGACGCCGATAGACGCTCGCGATGCTTGCAACGCCTTGCCATGCTACCCACAATGCAGTTCGGCGAAGTTTGAAAATATCCTACGTCACCCCATTCAAATGAATGGGCGAAGCGTTGAAAGCATTTTTTGACGCCTGTAGTGTAGACGGGCCGTTAGCCTGGTCGATCCGATCTTCATTCAGAAAACACGCATTTTAAAAGGGTTTTTCGCTGCCGTCTGTCTGCAGACTTGTCAAAGCATTAATTCATGGTTTTTACTAACCGGTATCAGTATGTTGTTACTTCGGCATCATTTTGAAACGTGTATTACAATTTAATCACAGTAAAATATGTTCATTTTGTTGTAGTTATAGCCCCGAGTCAGCGCGTCTTGTTTGAATGATGCGAGTAAACACAGCTGGTAGCCGCGGTGAAACTCGAGCGTTTATAGCGATGCGATAAGAGCGATTAGAGCGAAGCGAATATTCGCATCACGTCCGGTGTGAATGCAGCATTAGATTTATCAGCATTTTAAGCATTATTTCTCTACTTTTATATTCTTAATGTTTTGTTTATTTATGCTACATTTAGCATAAATATATTTTATGAAATGTTTATTACTTTTTTAAATGTGTTATGGGGGTTCTTGTTTTGGTTATTCTGGTTTGGTTTTATTTTTGTTCATTTATAACTATGTTTTTAACTTTTCAACTTAATTTTTAAGAATGTATTTTTCGATACAATGTTTATCACTAAACATTGTAGTCCACTGAGACAAATGTAACATTTGTGATATTGGGCTATATATAAACATTGATTGATTGATTGATTGATCACTATATATTTTCATTTATTGCGAAGGTTATTGTGTTGGTTGTTGTTGTTTAGGATGAGTTTTGTTAATTTACAATTATATTACAAATAGATTTTTGAGATTATTGAACACACTGTTTCTCATTTTCTTCCATTTATTTATATTAATTAAGGTCTTTTTTATTTATTGTAGATGTTCGTGTTTTTGGTTGTTACTGTTTGGGTTAAGTTTTGTTAATATCTAACTATGCTCGAAATTTTTAAAAAGTGTTTATAAAAATGTTTTCTATATTTTTTTTATGTATATATATTTTTTTGTTTTGGTAGGGGAGTTCTTGTTTTGGTTCTCTTGATTGGGGTGTGTTTATAGTTATTTTTAAATACATTTTTCATATTTTCTTTCAATTGATTTATTTAGTTGTTTCTTGTTTGGGTCGTTCCTTGCATGTTTTGTTGTATAACTTGTCTTCCTCCAAGCAAATAAAGGTACTTAAAAAAGATAATTGAACATTATCAAATTAGATATCAAATGCAGTCTCTCACAACAGTATTTGTAGCAAAATGACATTTTAGTGGTCTTGAAAAATGCTTCTTTAGGCGCTGCAGTTCTACTATCTCTGAGCTTGAATACATATCCTATTTCTGATGTGTGCTGCTCTGCTGTGTTGCTCCTTGTGCTGACACTCAGTTCTGTTTGTCTCTGTCTGTCTGTCCCCTCAGGCCAGAGTCACAGATCTCAAGTCTGGCGTCATCGTCTTGAGGATTTTCAGAGACATGAGCAACAGACTGGCTGGGTGGCAGCCTCTCAAAGGATGGGTAGGTGGCTCCACAGAATCTGAATGAAGCATCAAGGTGTCACATTCAGTAGAAGTCGTACAAACTGTAAACTACACAAGTGTCGTAAGCTCTGTGTCCCAGGACCAGAAGCGTGCCTGGATTTGCTTTAGTTTGTTGAGTGTCCTCTCTATGTCCGCAGCCTCTGGAGCTGATCTGTGAAAAGGCCATGGCAACGTGTAACCGGCCCCTGGGTCCAGGGGAAGGCCTGCGCCGCGTCATGGAGTGCATCGCCTCAGGGATCCTTCTTCCAGGTCAGGGATCAGTCCTTTACTGCAACCTCCAGGCCCCCTCTGTGGTCTGCATTTACACTATGCACACGATCACATTAGTTTAACAGCGTTTGTGAAACCCAGGATGAACTGTAGGTGTCTCACCATTTGCTTGGTGTGTATGGTGCCCACATAGAGAGAAATACAATTGTACGAAAATTGACCAGAACTATTACAATTTATTTTTTAAACCATATACAGGGATGCAAACTTGTCACTTTTCGGCGAAATTCGCCGTTTTGAATCCAAAATAGGTCGTTTGTGTGATTCATGTAGATCTGCAATACAAATATTTTTGGGGTATGGGGGGGTCTGGGACCCGGAGTAATCTGCGGCCGCGAGCTGTTATGTGCCATCATGACACGCATGGTGTTCTTTTTTTATATATGATAATGAATCGCGAGCGGTGTGCTCGAGTCTTCCTGCCTGTCGGCTCTGCTGCTCCGCGAAGATGGTCTAGCTTCAGCAGCTACATTACCTACGGGTGCGTTCGTTAATATTAACTGTGTGGTCCGGAGTGACTGTGGCACAGACTGGACCGCTGGTGAACAGCTGTTATAACGGGGCGTTCTGGTGTTCAGAGCAGAGCTCCCTGTCGGAGCGGCAGAGTGTGATGTGAACTGAAAAATGTTTCTGTCGCAATGTTATTTAAGGAATCGTTGAGCTAGCTAACTAGCATACATTGTCACTATCTGCTAACGTTAGCTTTAGCCTTCGTTTTCTAATAGTTTTTTTTTGTTTTTTTCATAGGCTATAAACGGAGGTGGTATAAGTATAGATATTGTACTTGAGTAAAAGTAGAAGCACCCAGATCTTGTACTAGAGTAAAAGTAGAAGTACCAGAGTGTAGGAATACTATGTTACAGTAAAAGTACTGCATTCAAAATGTTACTCAAGTAAAAGTATAAAAGTATACCATTTCAGAATAATATATGATATGTTTTATAATGATTGATCATGAAAGTGTTCTCAAAGCTGGTGAAGGTGCAGCTAGTTTTAATGACTTTGTATACTGCAGGGTAGCTTGTGGATTTACTCCAGGTGGAACTAAAGTCTGATTTAACACTTGATTATATTTCACATCATTCATCCAGATCTGTAAAGTAACTAAAGGTATTAAATACATGTAGTGGAGTAGAAGTACACCATGTACCTCTGAACTGTAGTGGGGTAGAAGTACACCATTTACCTCTGAATTGTAGTGGAGTAGAAGAACAAAGTAGCAAAACATTTAAATACTTAAATAAAGTACAAGTATCTCAAAATTGTACCCAAGTATAGTACTTGTTGAGTTTATGAACGTATAGTTACTTTACACCAGTGGCTATACAAATAGAAATACTAAGCCTTGCACAGAGGCATGAAAATACATTTTCAAAATGCTCAACAGTGCTGCCAGAATTATAAACTGACTGCTACACAATTAAAATAAATGCTTTTATATATTTCTATTAGATGTGACTCTTTAGCGTTTCTATTATTATTACCTGCTGCTTTAGTTGTTCTGACTGCTAAAATCCTCTGTTATTCCTCATGTTAAAGCCGATATTCCGTGGGGTCGGGGGGCTCGGATCCTTGTCACCTTTTTCATACCTGATGAGTTTGCATCCCTGCATATAAAACATAGGGAAATATTTACACAAAATATAAATTTAAAAAAAACCTAGTACAGTAACATTATGATACAATACCCGGGTAAAATAAAACATGTGCAGTATTGGAATTTAAAGTGGAAAGCTTTGCAGATTTAAGAAGGGGTAGTGTTTAACAGAAATGTGCAAAGGATGTTGGCAATATTAAAATGAACCATATTCATTCACATGATGTGAATACACTTAAACCATAGTGTTTACAGAGGGGTTAAGAGTAGTTAGGGTCCCAGACCTTGTTGATGACCAGGCCTCGTATAGAAAGATATAAACACAGAGGTGAACAGAAATCTCCATATCTTTATTTATTTTTCTATTTGCAAATGTGTCTCTGCAAATGTAGGTGTCATTAAAGAGTGTATTTAAGAGGCCCTGTTATGCTTGTTGGGATTTTCCCTTTCCTGTAGTGTGTTGTATACATTTTGTGTGCATGTTAATGGTCTGCAAATGCTAAAATTCTAAAGTTCCCTCCAGAGGGAGTTTCTCTCCCACACACTCCCCCCTGCCTGAAACTTATTGTATGTTGCTTTTATACTAATTTGTAGTCAGCAGCTGTTTAAAACCTGTGTTACAATGATTTGCTCATTAAAGAGGCCTTATTATTCTTTTTCGGGGTTTCCCCTTGTGCATGTAAATTGCCTGCAAACCAGCCTGAAACACCTGTTTTACACTTCTTTGTATACCTTCCGAACAGTGACATCCCTATGTAACACTCACGCTTCTATTGGCTAACACTTTGTACATGATAAGGTAAGGGACAGGACAACTATAAGCGCTTGACCAATCACAACAGAGCTGGCCAGCTGACCAATCAGAGCAGACTGGGCTCTGGTTTCAGACAGAGGGTGAAAAGAGGTGCTGAAAAGAAGAGCTTTTTGAACATTAAAGCATGGAGACATGTCACAGTAGAGGCACTACATACAAATAAGAACCAGACAATGAGCAAAATATGTTGTTGCGTTTTGGATTTGAAAAAATAATCCAAGCAGTCAGATTTGTGCAAATGTTATATTCAACCTCAAGTAGATTGAACTGGAAACTAGAAAATGCATTTCCTGCTGAAAATGCGTGTGAATGCCGTAAACTGTGAACATTTGTTGCTGAATTTAGCTGAAAATTCAGAAAAAGCTGAATACGTTAATAGTTGAATGGTCTCTGTAGCTGCTTTTAGCTACAAAAACCAAGTAAGTGTGTTGCTGAACTTAGCGGAGAAATGCAGAAAAGTGAAATGATTTTAATCAAATTGTTACAGTTCAAATGCATTGCAATGACTTTGTTGAACACTGGAAATGTTAAACTGGAAGAGTAGAAAAAATAGTGAAGAAGCTTAATATTTAAAATAAATGGTTTAAAAAAAGGTATAAACAACCTCAATGTCCTGAAATAGCTGAATAATTTAGCCATCATGTGATGTTTGGTGGCGTTCTGAGCATGTCAGTTGGAGTTATGACATCATCACACTGGTGTTTGAGCTAACGACCTTATGAAACACCTGTGCTTGAGCCCAGAGATCAAAGGTTTCCATGGTGATGTGCAGTAATCAGTGAGAGGAGAGCCTTTCCATTGTTCTGAATGAGAGATAAACCTCTTACATGTGGACGTTTTGTTGAAGAACCGTAGCAGATATCGGTAAAATGTCAACGCGTGAAGCGTCTCAGGACCCTGACGAGCGTCTGAGTCTGCTTTTGATGTGCTTTCGGTTCAATAATGTGGCCTTTTTGGCAGATTAACTAAAGGTGTGCGGCTGCTGCTGTGAGGAAAGATCAGGCTGAATTTACAATGGGCCTTAATGGAGACATGTTGAACGTTTTTGTCACTTCACACCCTCAAGAGGCATTTTGTTTAATTTTTTGCTGAATCTTTTTTGTTGTTTTCCAACCTAGGAGAGGTTTTTCTACGTTTTTCATGAAAAATTATGTCTCAGGAGTGTAGGGTTTGCGAATTATGGCAAGTTTTAAAAAAAAATATGAAAGTGAATTTCAAGCTGTCCCCCACTCTAGTGGCTCATTTCCACTCAACCCAGTCTCACGGCATTTCGTGTTATAGTCACGACATTTAATCTATTGATTCGTGTTCACCAACACGATTTTACCCTTTTTTTCGTGTCACACAGAACGATTTTAAAAGCAATGTATTTCTATTGGCAGTATGTTTCGTGCCTGCAGCACGTCTTTTTGTCCGTTCGGGTCTTGGAAGACCGGAAGCTGTGGGGTTCATAAAAACATGTTCTTACTCAATATCAAGCCATGATTATTGTTTTTATTTTCAATCGTATAATGTCGGACTTTTTTTGTCGTCTGTGAGGAAAAGAAATGGGGCTCAGAGCCTCAGAATACTGAAATCTGTATTTTTTAAATCTTTTTTTCCTTCTAATTTGTTATTCTTTTCTAAATAACACACTGTTATTTACTCACCAATAACACACAATTATCCTTGCTTTTATTTATTTGTTTAATTCCATAATCTCTGGCTTTTTTGTCGTCCTTCAGGAACTGAATTTCAAAATAAAATAACCGGAAACAGACGTAGGCCTATAAGGGACATTTCGAGCATCATTGCGATACACAGCCACTGAACTGATTACCCAAGATCCTCAGCTATGGTTTAAGCTCAGTGATTGGATGTTTTAGCCACAATGCATGTAGGGATATGGTGTTCATGCGATGTATACAGGCTTCTCCAACAATGCAACACAATAATACAGATAAGCAGACAATATTAAAACAATATTAAAATATACTATATTAAAAGTAATACAAAAGAAAAATAGTTTTTTTAAAAGTGAGGAAAAAAAAGTAGAATAGTGCAATACGAGTCTATATACAAGTTCTTGGAATTATATAATAGATACATAATTACTAAGTAGCAGATTTAAATTGTTTCAGCAGTTCAGTTGTTTAACATTTGTTTCCAACTTATAGTTTTATTTTTTAAATTAATTTAGCTTGACTCAGTTTTTTTTTCTCTTAAACTCTTAGTTTTGCTTGATTCTGAGAAAGTGTTCCTTTATCTTTATGAAAACAAACTAATCCCATATTTACCAAGCTCCAAACTAAGTTAAATATCTCAAAAAGTGTAAAAGATATCTTGTGATCATTTTAAAGTTGGAATGAAGTCTAGTCTAGCATTTGGCGCACGGTGTAGTTAAGGTTTCTCCCATTGAGTTATATGTTAAAAATAGAGTTTAAAAAGCTGAATATTTCAAAAAGTATAACGTAATATAATTTTTATTCAGTATTCCTTTGTTTTTTTTAAATTTTGAAAAAGTTGAAAGTTTCCCATCATGTGCTGAAAAGGCTGAATATTTTTGATATTTGAATGATTTCTGTAGCTAAAAGTAGGCTGAAGTTATCGGACTGCAAAATATTGGTTGAAATAATAATAAGAAGAAGAAGATTAAAGATTTGAAGAACTATAGTGGAATGCTGTTGCATACTTCTTTTCCAAGTTGGAATAAATAACCAAGAGGCTCACAACTCAAAACAATACCAAAAGTCAAAACATGTTGGCATCAGGTTTGCCCTCTGTTTGAATCATTCAACAGTTTTAATCTTGTAAACGATTAAATTACTCCGGCCAGGAATGAATACATGTAAGCCGTCAGTGGATAAGAGCTGACCGTAGTGATTGGATCCAGTACTCAGACTCTCTGCTCGGAGAGCAGCAAAATGAAATTACAAAGTTTGACACTGAAATTGAAGTGAGCAAGGACACTGGAGGAGCGTTATAGCGCCATCTGAAGAGAACAATTAATAAGAGGGAGTATTTAAAATGATGATCCATTGTTTTGGTCAGTGCACCATTATACAAATAGATGTTTACTACTTTTATACTAGTTTTAAGGGAAAGGGGCTTTCACGTACATAAGTCATACATGAAATAAAATGGCTCAATATCTGCTGGGTTCAACAAAAGCTTGCTGAACACATTGGTCATGGATATCCATAAAATGCTTTTCAGACATTCAGGTTCCCCTCAGTTGGAATTGTAAAAGGCGTAGCTACGATGATGATTTAAGTTCTATTTAAAAGTGTCCCTGCCATTTATTGTCAGGGCCGCCACAAGGCAAGGCAGGCAACTGCTTGGGGCCCCAGACCAAAAGGGGGCCCCCAAAGAAGGTAGATTAAGAAGGTCCACAGCAACGACAACATGAAACACCCTTTAATTTACTGCAACGACATGTCGGGAAACCCCCTCAAGGCGGCCCCATGCATAGTGCGCCGTAAAATGCTGCTTCTTATCTTAAGTTTCGTTGCCTTGCTCCGTTGTGCGTGGTGATGAAAAGCGGGTTCGAGGGGCCCCCAGTGAATGTTTGCCTAGGGCCCCACAGACTCTAGAATCAGCACTGTTTATTGTCATGGGAATGTCTTCCTGTTCTATTTCAAAAATGGAATCCCACTTAATAAAGACATATTATGTTCATCTTCAGGTTCATATTGAGATGTTGTGCCTCTTCTTTGTCATGTCTCCATGCTTTAATGTTCAAAAAGCTCTTTATTTTTCTCATACTGCCTGTGCTGCAGCACCTCTTTTCACCCTCTGTCTGAAACCAGAGACCAGTCTGCTCTGATAGGTTAGCTTGCTGTGATGTGCCAGCCCTTAGCCTATCACGAACATGTGTTGATGCGCTAGCCAATAATAGCGCAAGTGTTACAAAGTGATGTTATTATGTTGCGGAAGTAAACAAAGGAAGACAATAAAGGCGTTTTCGGGAGAGTGTCTGGAAGGAACTTTGGGATTTTAGACTTTGCAGACCATTTACATGCACAAAAAACCTATATAACACACTACAATAAAGGGAAAAGCGTAATAGGACCTCAGTCTACAGTATCCTACAGAGCATTAATTGGGTTGTATAGATTCCCTCAGGGCTCCTTTAGTGGATTAACAGCAACATGAGTGTGGGTTGAGTGGAACTCTTTCATTCAGTAAAAGTTGGTGGTGAATTATATTTAGAGAGATCGAATCCGCCTTCTTCATCCTCTGCATTTTGAATACTGGAGCAATCCACTTTAACAATGTTTTTTACTCAGCTCCAATACAAGAAAAATGTTCTCAGGGTTATTTTTTCCTTCCCCTTCTCTTTCTAATTCATATTCCGGCAGCTTCCGTGTTTGATCACTGCCGAGCGTTAGCCTTTGTGATGATGTGATTTTGTATTCGGGCTTCGCCTCAGCGTTGAAATGGCAGGTTGTTCCCTGGAGACCCTGAATCATTGATGAGTTACTGCTGCATTCAGAGTGTACACAGCAGGAGTTGCTTAATTATTTCCGTGTGTGTTTTCCTGTAAAGAGAAATTAAAGAGGGTTCAAAGAGTGTGTTGCTGTTTGGAGGACTCTCATGTCTGAGTCACAACCGTTTCCTCTACAGAAGGCCCCGGAGTCCACGACCCCTGTGAGAGGGACCCCACAGACGTTCTGACTGACGTCAGCGCGCAGCAGGCAGATGCCATCACTCACAGCGCACAGGTCAGTCCTCTTTACCCATCAGCCCCTGCTGCCGTTAGTTCTGCAGTGATTAAAGCCAAATCGTTCACACCGCAGTACTTTTCCCACTTTAGTTCCGATATAGTTCCGAAATGTCGCGTTCACACCAAAAAGAGCCGTAACTAAAATTAGTTAATCAGAACCTTTTTTACCCCCTTTTCCGTCCCTGCTAGAGAGCAGGTACTTTTTGCGGCTTTCACACCAGCGCTTTTCCCTTTCTAGCTCCGAGCGGGAGCTTTTCTGGTTCAGCTCCGGTTTCCCTTTTCTGCTCCCGCTCTGTTCACACCGCCCAGAGCTGCCGCTGCTGCGTCATGAAGTCACCGTTTACGTGCCTGCTTCATAAAATCCAAACCGCGGAAATCCCTCACATCGACAACAACAACAATGGCCGATTGTATTGAAGCATTGTTCGCTTTGGTTATCCTCTTACGAAACGAAATGGAAGGCATCGGACGACTTTACAAGGGACGACTTTACAAGGGACGACTTTACTTGGAATGCAAGACTTCTTTGTGGTCTTCAGCATCAACGACGAATCTGCCCCTGCCCCCGCCTCGACGTAAGAGAGACGTAAGCGACGGAGCTGAAAACGCGTTGGTGTGAAAGGGGCATCTGTGGGAGAAAAAGGTTCCTATGTCTGATTGGCTGGGCGGATTGAAAACCACCTCCCGTAAAACTCCAAATAAGTTTTGTGAAGCCGCCATTTTATTATCCTCGCATTAGCATTATTAGCATTAGCCCTGCGCAGAAACGCAGAGAGACTAACTTATGGCAACACAAAAGAAAACATGGGAGCGGTGGAGATGAGGAGGTGTCGGCGTTCTGACGATTTACTCGGAAGTAGTGATGTGTCGGTCGCGAACTCTTTTAAGTGAACGACAGGAGCCGGCTCTCGCACGCGAACGAGCCATTTTTTTTGTTTTTGCGGAGGGATCTAGATCGGCATGAAGGCACATTATGCAATGTGCACATTATCCCGCTTATTACACGGCCACATTCTCAACAAAGTAACGACATGACTCCCAATATTAATTGAAATGCTTTTATGGATTTAGAAAATGATTTTATTGATTTAAAAAATAGTTTTATGTATTGATTTAAATTGACATGCATCCGCTAAGAAAAGTAGTCCGTTGTTACTGTTTGAACTAACGTAGCAACGGCAGGAACTGCTTCGATAGTGTTTTTGAGGAGCTTTTTGATTACAGATTTGAAAACATCGTTGCTTGCTTTAAAAGTAGCACAATTCATTATGTCAAACCTTGGAAAGTATCTAGATATCCCTGCCCTAATGCCAAAGGAACTGCACACTGAATATGTGTCGCCGTTTGATGTCTATGTCTGGGCCGCTGCGTAAAAAGGAGGGTTTCTGCCCCATTACTTCTCTTCTTACTTCTATAAGAATAAAACACGGAGGACGGAGATCTCTTTTTCTCCCCCTCTTCTCCCCGCTGCAGCCTAGCAGCTGATCTCAAAGCACGCTCCCCTCTCCTGCAGGGGGGCGTGGTCAGCTGCAGCTCACAGAATCAGCCCCCTGCAAAAACAGCGCTGGAAAGAGCAAATAGAGCGAAATGAGGCATGGCTAAAATGCAGGATCTTTTTGGTATTTTGAAAAAAAAACTATATTTATATACTTTATATAGGTCGATACAGTAGCCCCTTTTTTAAAAATAGTTGTTATAGGTGTTGCTATCTGTTTTGTGTAGCGTGGTTCTACAAGCAAGTCAATGCATTCATTGGGTGGTATCAGAGAGTTGCACGGGTCTGTAAATGCAATGAAAACAATTGGCCACAGCAAATCATTTATATTAAACATGTAATTTTTACTTTTGAATACTTCAGTACAAAGGATGTATTGAATAATTTAAGTGATATATGTGTACACATATAAGTCATTAGTCAAAACAGGGCTACATTTGATTTAATTAAAAGGTATAATATGTGGTAAACTGAAGAGCCGTTTGGGTGCCGAAAGAGGTTAGCCGAGCCAAATGATCCGGCTCACCAAGAAGAGCCGGAATTCCCATCACTACTCAGAAGGCTAGAAGCCAGTCCCCAACTCCGGGGACTTCCGGCCGGGACTTTGGGTGGCAGTATACGCCGTGAAGTTGTTTGCAGCCTGCCAGTAAACCCAAAGCAGAAGAAGAAGAAGAAGTGACGTCAGCGGCTTTATTTGGCTCAGGGATTTATTCCGGTGTGAACGCGATCTGTACTTTTAGTTCATGAGAACTAAAGAGTTCCCATGAACTAAGTTCTGATGAGCCTTTGTAGGAATTTGTAGGACCGTGTGATTGCGCCTATTGAAGCATCTTGAATGTCTTGCTGCTAGCCCAAAAGCCAATGAGATGTCTTAATGTAGGAAAATGAAATGCATGTTTTTAGATTTGAGAAGCTAAAGTATCAACTATTTTTTGCTATAAAGATTAATTTATTAAAAAATGCCCACCTGCACTGCAGAAGTAAAACATGTTCAGTCAATAAAGCGTACCCCAGGCTCAATGTAGCAAATGTATCTCTCAGGGGTTTGTGCTAAAGAACACTCTCGTTACAATCAAAATAATAAAAAAAACATCTGTTTTTTAGTTGCTTTCGTGGTTTTCTCCTGTCACAGAGAGATAGTGTGTTTTGTTGCTGCAGGCCAGGAAGTTTAAGCTGATACCTTTTTGGTTTTAATTTAGGTTTAGGAGGTTTATAGTGCTCAAGGGCACTTTTACAGGAACACAGGAGCATTTCATACATCCTTCTGTCTGCACCGGGAGCATCGATTAAGACGCTCTTGTCTTCGGCCACAGATGCTCCCGAAGGTGATCGAGTCAGACACACAAAAAAAGGTCACCTTGAAATTCATCAAGTATGGGATGGCAAAAACTGTTCAATCTGGAGCTAAATAATAAAATACTAATACATTTTACATTTAGAGTGCTTTTTAAGATACTAAAAGATGCTTTACATAATATACATTTTTAAATCAAAAGGCAATCATTAAGAACAACACACTTCAAATGTAAAACAATAGTAATTTACACAATAAAGAGGCCCTATTGTGCTTTTTGGTGTTTTCCCTTTCCAGTAGTGTGCTATATATAGGTTATTGAGCATGTACATTTTCTGCAAAGGCGAAAATCCCTGTTCCCTCCAGAGAGAGCACAGGCAGTATGAGAAAAATAAAGACCTTTTTAACACATTAAAGCATATAACCATGACACAGTAGAAGAACAAAATCAGTGTGAGAAAAAGTTTTTAGAGAGTACTTGTCCATGGACAAGTGAGTTTGGCAATTTACTTGTCCGAATACATTGTTCACTTGTCCAGAATGGACAAAAATTGGGGCCATTGGAATCTTCTTCTTCGTCATCGTATTTTACATTTTCCCACGGTTTTTACGACACCGCTAACGTAAGTGAGCGGTAAGATTTTACTGCATCACACATAGGGTTGGGTATCGTTTGGATTTTAACGATTCTGGTTCTGCTTTTCGATTCCGGTTATTTTCGGTTCTCGATTCCGGTTCTTTGAGAGGGTAAAAATAAGTCAAACTGGGAGAAAAATATATTTATGAAAACATTAAGTCAAATCTGTATTCCTATTTACAAATCACTTCATACTGTTTAATTTCTTACGGTTATTGAATACAATTATATAAAAATAATCTCTGCATTGTTTAGTTAGTTCTAAGTGGTGCAGTTTGAGAATGTACAATTGGCCCAGTGTCCTCTGATGTTACACTGCAACCTGCCTGTGAGACAGAGTCCAACCACACATGTCCAACACATAGGACATAACCTAATAATAATAATACATTATATGTATAGCCTATAGGCCTAGCGCTTTTCTACAACTCAAAGACGCTTGCACTCTTACACATGTCCTGCAATACACATGCTGCAGCTGCCCAGCTGCTCACTGTTTGTAAAAGTAAATAAATAGTATTTTCATTTCAATAATGTAGCTACTTTCTATACCCTGCTTCATAAACAATACTGACATCCCTGCGCTGCTCCGAGTCTGGGGGTCCGGGGATGTGAGGACAGCGCGAGGACACAGACAGGGAGGCTGCTTTACTTCATAAAGGAAATGGCGGTCAATATTAACAACACAGGAGCTAAAACGATTAATAACCTTCATTACGTGTTAGAGAAAGAACATAAGAAAGTTTGACAAAGATGAGGCTGTTAAACGGGCAGCGGATCCGCTGTGTGTAGAAAGAGAGAGAGAGACACTGAGCTGCACCGTGCAGCGATCAGCTGATACGGAGCATATGAGAGAGCTGCAGTCCGCGGGGCTCGGCCTCGCCTCCTGTCCTCACAACTCTTATTAATCCCGGTACCGGACAATTGTTATTTGTTCCTACTCAGAACCGAGTTTTGCTTCCCAACCCTGCCACTGTGCTACACTTCCCACCCCGCTCCGCCCCGCTCCGCTCCGCCCCGCCCCCGTCTAACGGCCCCTACACACGGCGGCGTGCGTTGCCGCTTCAACGCTTCTGCCCATTCACTTTGAATGGGGTGACGTCACGATTCGCCGAACTGCATTGTGGAAGCAAAGCGTAGCTTCTCTCGCGGTGCTCTCTGCAAAAGTAGAGCAATGTTCTACTTTTGCCGCCTCGACGGAGGCGTCAGCCAATCAAATCCCGCGTATGCAAATCTGACAGCACAAGCGCTAGCCAATCAAACCGCGTGTATGTTGGGAGAGCCAGACCGCAGTTATTTCCCATGTCAAAAAATGGAGGAGGAAATTATCGTGGCGTTAGGGAATCACCCGGTACTATATGACCAGTCCCTCTTTACATACAGGGATACAAACCGGAGGAGCCAGGCATGGGGGAGGTGGCAGAGACAGTGGGTGAAACTGGTAGGTTTTCGCCTGTTTGGGGAGTTTATATCCAGTGTACTTTGTTTGAATGGACAGCTAGCAAGCATAGACAGTATATTTAGCCAGCATGGATGTAGCATGAATGCTTTGCTTTGTATGTCCGGGGCGGGACATTCATGTGATTGGTTGTTGGTCGCGTTGTTCGTAAAAAATCCCCAAGCTTCAGACACGCCCACCGCCAAGCGGTAACGCACGCCGCCGTGTGTAGGGGCCGTAACGGTGTGTCCACACAGCAGCTTTGACCAAATCTTGAAAATCCTGGAGCTGGGCGTGTCTGACAGCTTGGGGATTTCGCGACCAACAACCAATCACATGAATATCACATGAATATCCCGCCCCCGACATACAAAGCAAAAAAACCCGGTTCTTCTACACTATTGTCAAATAGGAAGGGCTATGATGAACATTTATTTTTTTAACATTTTGAACATTTATGAGATTAATGTTTATGGTGCTATTTTATGCTACATTCCATGCTGGCTAATGATACTGTCTATGCTTGCTAGCAACGAAGTAAACTAGCAACGAAGTAAACTGGATATAAAATCCCCAAACGAGCGAAAACCTACCAGTTTCACCCACTGCCTCTGCCACCTCCCTCCATGCCTGGTTCCTCCGGTTTGTATCCCGGTAAGTAAATAGGGACTGGTCATAAAGAACCGGGTGATTTGCTACCGCAATAACTAAGTTCTCCTCCATTTTTGTGGAATATAGAAATGAACTGCGGGTCTCGTTCTCCCAGCTTGCACGCGGTTTGATTGGCTAGCGCTTGAACTGTCAGATTTGCATAAACGGATCTGATTGGCTGTCGCTTCCAGCTCAGCCTCAAAAGTTGAACAATGTTCAACTTTGGAATCCTGAACATCCTGGAAATCCTGGAAATCTTCGCCTCGCCCCCCCACAATGCAATTCGGCGACAAGCGAGGGAAAGTGACGTCATCCCCATTCAAAGTCAATGGGCGGAGACGCGCTGGAAGCGATGGACAAATCGCCAAAAGCTGCTGTGTGGACGGGCCGTAACTGTACAGAAAGCGCGAGATGCATTTCGTTAGGAATCGACAAGCAGAACCGAAACTAACATTTCTAAACGAACATTGGCGGACACGTACAATTTGCGAATGAGTTCTGCCATTTGTAAACTGAATGTATCAATAATTTGTCAATAAACGTCACTTGTCCGCCGGACAAGTCAATTGACAGATCTACTTGTCCGATATTGTAAATAACACGTCCCGGACGGTGGGACGTGTACTTTTTCGCACACTGAAAATAGAATGATATACCTGAAAATGAGCATAAAAGGGCCCCTTTAAAAGCAGCATTGAAAATGTGAGTTTTGAGCTGCTCAAACAACAGAGTGATATGTGAAAACCAAAGAGAGGTGTGAATGTAAACTCTTTTGTGTGCTAAGACTTCTTGGCTGGAGATGAACTAATGTAAAGCCACAGATGTGTTCCGAATATAGACTTTCTTACATACCTTCCCTTATAGGAAGTCTTTCATATGAACTGCTGCTTTATGGACCTTGTCTTTGCACTCTGCCCCTGAGATCTATAAAACTTCCCTTCCTGTGTTCCTGCTATAAAAGCTGAGTATAATCATTAGCTGGGCTGCGACTCTTGAGACTTTGAAACATCTCACTGGGGTTCACTTCCTCTCCGCCGAAGTCAGCTTTTTTTTCAGGAGACCGGATGAGCAATGCTCCCCTGATTGAAGGAGATTTATTAGAAGCAAGCCCACTGCATTACATCAGCACTATAAATAGCTGAGTGGCTGCAGAAGCCCCGGACTCTGACCTCGGATCAGCAGCCCCTCGGTGTAACGCAGGCTTGATGAACTATGAAGCCTAATTAGCCTCCTTAATGAGCGTGGGAACACTCTTTCCCGCTCACACCCACACAACTACTGTTCCACCACCACTGCTGCTGCTGCAACGCACAACAAAGTCTGCCCCCGGGTGGAGAATGGGAGCTCAGTGCTGAGAAAATAATGAAGACATCCTCAATTCACATCTTCCCCTCTCACTCTGTTCTGCCTTTGTTTTGCTCTCTGGGAATACGTTTCTTTCTTTTTCTTATCTCCTTCGTTTGAGTGTTTATTCCCCTCCTCTATAATGCATGACGTTTCTCCCAACAGAGTCCGATTGTTTACACAAAGTTTGCCCGGTAATTACAGCGCATTGATCGGAAAATAAATGATATCCATGCTGCCTGTTTTGACTGCACACTTCTGTTGCTCTACCAATACAGAGACGTGCTTTTATTCTGTCTGGTGTGTGTTTGTGTGTGTTTTTCAGCATGCGTTACGCCTCCTAGCTTTCGGACAGCTTTACAAGGTCTTGAATATGGATCCTCTCCCCGCCAGCAAGCCCTCACCAAGGCTGTTAGAAGGTGTGTGTTCAAATGTGTTTTCCTGTTCATGTGAGTCTCATATACTATAATATACGGTCGCTCATTGCAACACCAAAACATGGCCTCTTTTACGACTATCCTGCAACATTGATTTAATTGTGGAGTAACTGTCCTAATCCTTTTCAATTTATTTTGGCTGTTCCCATTATTTTTATTTTATCATTGTCTATATTCATTTTTCACATTTACAAGCACAAAAAAAGTGTTGTGTTTGAATTTGCCAGTAAAATTGTTATAGTTGTAATCTTGTGTTTACTATTTGAGTATGGGCTTTTAAACATACATTGCCCAATCCATCCTTTCTCCAACCAATCAGTCGATCCATAGACAATTCACTGGAACCAGAGACCAATAAGTTATATAGAGATTGACACTCGATAACGTCAAACAAATTTGATGTCCTATTTTTGCAAAAGCAGATTTAAACACCTAAGGATAAACCTGCCAGCCAGCTAACCAATCAGAGCAGACTGGGCTCTGGTTTCAGACAGAGGGTGAAAAGAGGTGCTGCAGCACAGGCAGTATGAGGAAAATAAATAGCTTTTTGAACATTAAAGTGTGAAAACATGTCACACTAGAGGCCCAAAACATAAATGAAAATGAGCAGAATAGGGACCCTTTTAACCAGTGCGTGTACACCTACTAAGAGAAGTCAAAATAGACATGTAAAGAGAAAACATGGTTGCTTTAATTGGCAAGAAAAACATCGACAGGAAGTATAGCCCAAACAATGCTGATTAATCACCCTAAATGCCCTCAAGAAGTGAACTCACAGAAGTGTATTTGGTGGGCTTCTTTGTAATGTTTATTTGACCATTTCTATTAGATCACATTGTTTCCTGAGATGACACATGCTGCTCAATTTGCATGACCAGACAAATGAATGTTCCAAACATTAATTAATTTGGCGTTATGTGTAATTTGTTGTGACAGCAATATTACAACTCTGTTGTGTGTTAGTGTATCTTTGTATTTGCATTTCTTCTGTGTGTGCCCGTGTGTGTCTGTATTCAGATTCCTATTTTCATCTCATCATTTTATTTCTTGTTTTCGTACTCCCCTATGCAGTGTACTATTCTCTTTGTATTCCCTCTGGAAAAAGATAATTACAATAACAATGTGTTGTTGCTGACATGAGTGTCTTTGTGATGTTCCAGGTGATCAGCGCTCCACAGGCAGCTGTCAGAAGAGGCACCGGGAGGATGTCGGGTCAGATGACAGAGACTTCATCAAAAGGATGAAAGGTGACTTTGAGCATCCACTCACCGGTGTAAAAAAGAGACATTCTGCTCACAGGATTTTAATTCTCTTCCTCCCAACTCGTAAACACACAGCACACACACCACAGGGGACTAGTGAAAAATAATAATAACCAAAGACCGCCGAATAAATGCTTTGGCCAATATTCAAACACTGGAATCCATGTCTGCTGATAGTGTTCACAGTGTCTATTTGAAGCCTTATTTTTATCATGTAGCATTATTAATTGATATAACTTTTCTTAAAGGGGCCCCATTACAGAATGCTTTTGGGGTTTTCCCTATCCTGTAGTGTTATATAGGTTTTGGCTAAAATCCCAAAGTTCCCTCCAGAGGGAGTTTCTCTCACTTTTTGGAAAATCCATTTAAAAGGGCAGGGATCCTATAACCAGACCAGACCATACATACCATGCCATAAAGGGTATCAGGCCTTCAGTTTATTAGAAAGCTGTCTTGCTCATTTTGACTCCCCAGAATAAAGCTTAGCGTACAGCAGATAAGTGGATATTGATTGAAGAGATTGTCGCTCAGTTGTAGCTAATGACAAAGACAAAAAGCCCTGTTTTCACTGTTTGTATCTGGCACAGCTTTTAAGTACAGTCCTGTAAACAAAGTGCCTTCTGACAGGCGTTGTGTAAAAGGTGTACAAGTGAGAGTCAGTGGAGCAGAAGGAGGGGAGGCTAAGCTTTTCTCAGAGATCCGGACGCTCTCTGTGTGAGGCTCAGAGCGGCTGTCAGACGGTATGCACTTCAATCTCCGCTTCAGAGGAGACAAAGTACCCCGGCTCGGCCTGGATGTGGCCCATTGTAGGCCGCCGTTTGAAATTCAGCAGTCGGAGCTGATATCTCCTCAAGATCATATTAGCAATCCACTTTAGTGCAGTGAATTGTCAACAGCTTACTGTATCCTCAGAGGCATCATTCACCGTATCACCCAGCTGCATGAAACCGGTTCAAAAAGCTCTTAAAATTCTGAAAGGAGCTGTGGCCTTTTAAGTGAAAAGTTTCCTCCATGCAGAAAATTGTGTGGCGTTATCAGATTTCCGAGTAGCTGCGATAGAGAGGAAAAGGGGAAATGGAGCTGAAAGACGCATTAACAGGTTATCAGGAGTCTGTGTGTCTTAATGTCATGTCAACGTCAAAACTGTCCATCAGCGCCATCCAGGTCTTCATCAGACATCTTCATCAGATCTGCGTGCTGTGCCCTCAGCAGTGTTGGGGTTAACACGCTACAAAGTGATGTGTTGCTGTAATCAGATGACGTCGCTGTTGATAACAGCAGTAATCACATTTCAGTTACTAAGCACGGCATTCATATTTGCACTAGATGGTTGAAAGGAAAACATATTTTAAGTTGTGTTGGTGTATGACAAAGAATTGAGAGTTTTTCTGGGATGTTTTTTAAGGCTGATGTTTAAACAAAGAGCATTTGTCATTTGATTTAGGTTGCATCTCAGGTGATGTTACAGTGTAATCCAAAAGTAAAGTGACTAGTATTGTAACTAATTACTTCCATCAGTGAGAAATTGAGTAAAGTAAGGCATTACTCTTTTATAAAGTAACTAGTAATGTGTAATGCATTATGTTTTTTTAGTAATTACCCCAATTATGGCCCTCATTGATGGCCCTCTGTATAATGTGCGTAACACAGGTTATATGCTCTGATGGTAGTAGTCTTGCTGCCGCTATCATACTGAAGGCACTATCTGTCCCTACAGTGGTGACCCTGTACTCTATCTTCAAGAAACAAGCTATAGCACATGCTTCAGCAAAATGTATTTCCGCCGTTTTCACCAGTTCAGGTGTGCTGTTATACCGAGGTAGTGCTGGTGCTTACTGATGTCCAGTGGTCAGTCAGTTCAATACATCTAGCTTTTTCCGGTTCCGCTTTCTTTGCCTTCTCACTGCCATGCAATTCATGGTAAACCTCCACTCTGGAAAAACAAAAGGAAGTTGGGGTCAAACTTTGTGATATGATTCATTTGTGTACATTTTTTATACGCATCAAGGTTTCCCGATTAATTGCAATCTACAACGCTTTGACTTTGACAGCCCCAGAAATAAGTTTAGATAAGACGTATTCCCTAAGGGGCACATTGACTTGTTAAAGCATAACAAATGTATACTGTAAAAGGCTGTATTTCTTTGAATGAAAATAATAAATTAAAGAAATAAGAGAGGTGACATTAAAAAATGCTGCAAACAATATAAACATTAAAATATGCACAAAAGAGACTGATGAAGGTTTGTTATTGTGGATTGTCTTCAGATGTGGCCGTCCTAGCAACGGTTTGACTCAGATCTGAACACGTGCACATTAAACACACTTGTTTAAATTCAGTGTGACTGAGGACGTCACTATCCCAGCTGCCCTTCACAAACAAACTTTCACAAATCTGCGTGGAAAGTAATCCAAAAGTACACTTGTTAAAACTCCAGAACTTGCTTTTTTGAATATTCACGTTTTCATGCTTTTTTCTAAATTAAACTAATTTAAAACGTTGTTTTATACTAGTGCAAAAAAGGTTCAATTGTGCACTTCTGGTAGCTTAATGTAAATTATATACAATAAAGTTATGAATAATGTGAAAAGTTTATGCAATATTGTATTCAAATGTAAATAAAGTTTTATAAAATAAGTGTAGTATAGTGTAGGGAATACAATTATTTCCAAAATATATACCTTATCGTATAAATGAAAAAGAATACCATGATCAAATAATATTAATATGTAAATATTCAATGAATAAATTAGTAGCAATACAGCATTAGTATGTAGTTATCTAAGTTATGCGATTTAGAGTAATAATGAAATCCTGAACATGTTGAACTGTGACTGACTCCCATTGTAATAGATGTGGGTATCATGATTTTAGACACTTACATCAGATTGTTTCTACAGCTACATTTCAGCATTACTACCTTTTTTTGGCGGCTCCTGCCATACCCTGAATTAAAGTTATCAATGTTTAAACATTGATTTTATGTCACTTAAATGTCTAGAAAACGTCAACTGCTTCCAGAGGCGCGGCAAGGTATGTTGAGTGGGGGTGCTGAGGTGCTGGACTCCAGTGAACACTATTACGGGCACTGTATAGAGCACGCACAAAAGCGCGAGCACCAGGGGCGCTACAGTGGAATGTTCTACTGCAACACTCCCCACATGCAAACACACAGTACACCCGCGACTGTTGCAATGAAGGCTCGATAATCAGCTCACGGCATATAGGCAGGGGTAAAGTGCGATATTTTCCGAGTGGAGAGCGGACCTCACCTCCTCTAGGGGGGTCCGGGGGGATGCTCCCCCGAGAAGATTTTTTTAAATATTGAAGTTAAAAGCATCAATCTGGTGCACTTTGAGAGCAACATTAAGAGATCTATGGATACATCTCTCAACACCCAGATGAAACACAACTGTAAGCAGATGTTCTTTTTCTTTATGGATATTTTACAAATCACTCCCCTTTCAAACTGTATTCTTGTTTTACTGCCATATAGTATTTCATAACTGTTTTTCATTTATTCTCTTGTTTTTTTTATAAAGATAATGATCATATAAAGATGTGCCGCGGAAATAATCTTTTGAATAATTTGTGACCAAACCGTTTGAGACCCACTGAGATAACTTAGACTAAAGTGAACTATCTAAACACTCAGTCCTTTAGCTCACCTGAATCTCTCAATCTGTCAGGAGAGGACTCTCCTCCAGCTTGTTGTGAAAACAGCTCCTTATAGTCAGTGCAGCTAGCTAACCAGATGCTAACAACACGGTCTCGCTCTCTCTCTCGCTCTCGCTCTCGCTCTCTCTCTCTCTCTCTCTCTCTCACACACACTAAATGCGCTATTTGCACACACACACACAGAGCCGAGCTTGAATGACACAAGCACACTTTTATTTCCATGAAACTCTCTGATTGGTCTGGTGTCTCGCCTCGTTGCATTCACTGAACACGGAAAATTACAGTACTGCCGTCCTCTCTAGTGTCATGATGAGGTTCACGTAAAGCACGGTCAATGTATTATATTATTGAGGTAGAATTGTCCGGGGCTACAGAAAAAACATTCGGGGCAGGCCAAAATATTATTTTACCAACAATGTGGAATTTATTGGCTACATATTACACAGATTATGCACAGCGGGAGCAGCAATAACCGTCAAATAATAATTCAGACAGGGGAGCTCCGCACCGCCTGCCTGCCGATAGGGGGTGCTGCAGCGCCCTCAGCACCCCCCTTCCCGCACTTGCGTTTTTCTTAAGCCCCGCCTCCAATCTGCTGAGTCACGGCCAGTAATGTCTCAGTCAGATTATTGGAGAGGGAAAAGAACACTGGACTCTGCTTTTAGCAAATGTACAACTTTTAGTCCTTAATGATTCAAATAAGAGCTATTCAGTAGGGGTGGAACGGTTCACAGAAGTCACGGTTCGGTACGTACCTCGGTTTGGGGGTCACGGTTCGGTACGGGTTCGGTACAACAAGAAAAAGCAAAAAAAAAAGTCCCAAATGCATAATTCCAGGTTTGTTATCTATTTTTGAACAGTAGTGCAAGTTTCAGTTTAAAAATAAGGAACTCTAACATTTTGAATAATTAACTGTATTACACTGTTAAGAACAAACCACAAACAGTACCACACACACTCAGATGGCCATATTATCTATAATGGCTGATGTCAAACAAAAAGATTCAATAAGCTGTAAAACTAAAAAGAATGTCTTGAAAATATGACATCATAAATAATAAGAAAGTGTTTCAAGAGCGCATAGTCGTTGAAATATATATGCCAATAGCTTCCGTTATTTATTTTGGTCTCACGGCTTTCATGTCTATTGGCTTCTTAAAAACAGCGGGGATCAGCTGCTGAACTGCTGCTGTCTTTTGCCGGGCTCCGGTGATTGGCAAATCTGGGTGATGCCTTCTGAGATGATTTAGCATGTTTGGCATGTGTTACCATTAGCATACCGCACCGCTGTCAAACAACGCCGGCA